TTTCTCTTTGTTGAAAGCGGAAATCAGTAAATAAAACAATTTTAGCATGTTTTTTTCATATCTAGAATAACATTATTAATTTGGAAAATCGTTCAACATAAATAATTGTGTCTCCATTAATGAAAAATTTCAGGACAATTTGATGTATGTTTTTTAATTATTTCCAAAACAAATCAAAGTTAATTTATATGAGTGACTTGCTGGATTTTGCAATTCACTTCATTTATTTCCGAGTTATAAAAGTTATTGTACAAAAAAATTAAATGCAAAAAATTGTTGAAAACAATTGCAGTAATGAAAACTTTGGAATCCAAAATTTCAGGATTGCAAGTCCAGATCTATCCCAGATTGTTTTTACTTTGCTTTACAGCTAAATTTGATTCCAAAAATAGTATGTTTGGATAGAAAAAAAGGGGCATAAAGTTTTTTTTTTTAATTCTATGTGGCATACTGAAATTTCTTATAATTTCATTAATATCTGTTTGGTAGATAGGTATCTTCCACTTGGAATGAAGAACTAAAAAAAAAAAAATAATTCTGTTTTTTCATTGTGACCTGAAGATGCTTACCTAATGAAGGCAAAATGAGTTGCCAATAAGAAAAAAAAAAAAAACAAAGTTTTCTACTTTGTCAGATATAACTCTTATCATTGCCTGATTTTATTAGCACAGGAATTGGCACAAAATGTTCAATCTTCCAAGAAAGATATTTCAATTTTACATGCAGGTTATAAAATGATACATATTGATTTCTGTGAAAAGCTGTCTCTCTTAATAAATTGAAATACATATTATTTTGTTTTGAAAATTCTACCAAAAATTTTCAATTTAATTTTTAAATTTAAATTTTTTTAAAACCACAAATATTTGAATTATTTTTGGATTATATATTTGCAAAATTGGGGTTCTCTTTTTCTTGTCATAAAAACATTAAATATTTCTTGCCCTTTTAATTGGTATTCTGAGGGGTTTAAATTTCATTTTATATATAAAAGAAATTTTGTTTTTTGTGCATATAATATGATCTGAAAAAATCTATCCAAAGGGCTAAAGGATCAATTCAAAAAAAAAAAAATTATATATCCTGATATTTGGTCAGATTTGGGAAGTCAATTTAAAATTTATTTGTTACTATTTTGGCTGATTTTCAATTTCTTTTTTAATATATTTACTTAATGAGTTAATTTACTGTACCTCTCTTTCTCTTAGCCACTCACAAATAAAGATTTCTTAATTGACCCTCCCTAATTTTTTTTTCTCCTGAAGTAGAAAACAAATTAAGCTAAGAACTCTTCAGATATATATATATATATATATATATATATATATATATATATATATTCATTCAAACAAGTTTGGTTAAATAATTCAGACATTTTGTTTTAATCCTTTCAACTCCATGGATCAGTGGAAAATTAAGAAAAAAAAAAATACCAAAATTTTGTTTTGAATAATAACTTGGGAAAACGGAAATTATTTGAAAGAAAATTTTATATATACACACACACACACTTTGGACTATTGCCCTTGTCTTTATTGTCATATTGACAGTGTTTCAACTGTTGTACACTCGGCTATCTTCAGGTGATATATAATGAATTTAACCAAACCCTTTTGGTTTGTCCAATGGATTTATTGTTTTTTTATATTCATGGAGCAGGTTGTGCAACTAATTTGTCTTTTGTTTTATAAATCTTCAAATGACAGGCATTTTTTAATCTAACTTCTTTTGCCTCATCAAATCAAACTGAAAAGACAACTCTTCATTTGATAACTGAAGTTAAGCAATGTCAAGATGGGGGACCGCTTTGGAACACAGGGTACACTGTAACTAAGTAACGTCTTACAATCCAAAAATGTGTTTAGGTTTTAAAATAACCTATGAAAGCTTGATAAACTGTAAAAAAATTATTCCATCTTATCCTTTGATGCAATTGTTTTTATATTAGTTATATTTCTTTCTTTGTCAAGATAAAAATGTTTTTATTTCAGTGTATATGATTGTCACCTTATAACCAACATTCCGTTTTTGTTTTTACCATGTAAATCTCAAAGCAAACCTATGATAAGGTAATTGTTATATGTCCTTATATACAAGGTAAGTTATACTTGTTAATTATAGACAGCCATGATATACTTTCATGGTATAAATATTTACTAAATCTGGAATAAGGACATGGGTCATATAATGAAACTATAGAGTGATATATATATAATGAATACTATTCATCTGTTGACATAGCATCCACCAACCAATCTTGAGTAATAATGACAAATATTGGTCATCACATTTTAAATCCCCCTCCTCGGTTGAAGCCAGTCTGTCATTTTTATAGTTTTGATTCAGGTTTCCCAAAAATATTTTAAAATATTGGGATATTGATGGCAAAGTTCAGCCATATATATATATTCCAAAAACTATCTACGTTGTATACTGTAGTTAGACTAATTCTTAACTTACTACTAAGATAACTTCGTCTCTTTGCATCCGAGGATCATAT